CTGCCGGGGCAGCTGCTGCTCCTGCACCCGGCGCCGCTCGGACTTTCCTGGCCTTCACCTGCGGGCGACGGGCAGCCTGCGCGGCAGCCACCCCGGAGCGGCCCCGCCCGCTCGCGCGCCTCTCCGGCGTTTCCCCTTCGCTGACAGGCTTGGCCGGGGGTGGTGCGAGCACGGGCGGGGCCCGGACATCAGCACCCTGGACAGTTGCCGGCCGGCCTGCCTTGCCGCGGCTCTGCGCGGATCCGCACGGCGGGTCTGCTGTTGTGAACGCCGCCCCGGGGGCACAGGGAAGCGAGCGGCCCCACGCGCGGGAGCGGCAGGGCTGAGCTCGCAACCCCCGGGCCAGGGCCCGGCCAGCAATTCCAGTGACCCGCCGGGAGGGCCTCCTGCAACCCCCTGTTTGTCTTCCTTAACGAAGGAGTGATAATAGCATCGATTATACATAAAGCCAGCGTGCAATTAACCAGGCTGCAGCACGTGCGAGCGGCGCCCTGCCCTCTTTCCCTCTCTTCCCACATAAATTAGAGCGGAGCGATTTGGCCATTTCCCCAGGGAAAGGGTCGATCATCTCAGAGCAGGCAGAGTGCGGGTTTCCATTGCTGTTGCACTAGACAAGCATGGAGCTGAAAGGGAGCAGGACTCGATTTCATCAGTGGCTGGAGGAGCAGTGGACAGGAGTTCAGCGCTTGGATGTGAACGGATAACATGGGAATGTGTATATGCATTGGAGGGGAACCTGTTGGATCAGGAAGGGGAGAGAGATGTTCGTTAGTTAGAAAATGGGGCTTCCATATTTTCAGGTCTGACTGGTAGATGAAGCAAGGAAGCATCTTGATTTAAGGTGGCAATCAGATCCCCAGCACTTGCCCTGAAATGAACTAGAGAAAGCACTTCTAAATCCCTATCAGGGTGATACAGAATGATCATGGAAGCAGGCAGATGGGCAACCCCATTATGCTTGTACAAATGTAGTTTGCATTTACAGTCATTCAGAGTTCGTGTTCTTGCCTCCCACAGATAACCAGTGGCCTCTCCTTGACAAAAGTCCCCCCCCCCCAATTTGGCCACAGTTGGCAGGATCAGCCCAAAAGGCCTAGGATTGAAGAGAAGAAGCTATTTCAGAGGTGCACTGGGAGCTTGGGCCAAAGGCTGTTGCTGCTTAGGGAGACTTCTAGGGCCTCTGGTTCAGGGCCTAGCATTGCTACTAGGTGAGCACAGTAGTGGGGAGGGAAAGACTGCAGCAAGACCTGGATAGGTTACAGGGGTGGGCTAACAAAAACAGGATGCGTTTCAATTCTGGGAAGTGCAGGGTGCTGCACTTGGGCAGTAGTAACCAGCAGCGCACTTATAAGATGGGAAACTCCCTTCTTGAGAGCATAGAGGCAGAAAGGGATCTTGGAGTCATTATTGACTCCAAGATGAACATGGGCGGCATGACAATGCAGAACTTGTCATGCATCCACAGGTGCATCTCAAGTAGGGCCAAGGAGGTGATCCTCCCCCTCTGCGTGACACTGGTCAGGCCACAGCTGGAGTACTGCGTCCAGTTCTGGGCACCACACTTCAGGAGGGATGTGGACAACATGGAGAGGGTCCAGAGGAGGGCCACCCGCATGATCCGGGGACAACAGGGCAGACCCTACAATGAGAGACTGTGGGACCTGACCCTGTTCAGCCTTCACAAGAGAAGGCTGAGGGGGGACCTGGTGACAGTCTATAAACTCACTAGGGGGGACCAGAATGGTTTGGGAGAGACCTTGTTTCCCCTAGCGCCCGCTGGCCTAACAAGGAATAACGGCCATAAGTTGACAGAGAGTAGGTCCAGGCTAGATATCAGGAGGCGCTACTTCACAGTCAGGGTGTCCAGGATCTGAAACCAATTTCCAAGGGAAGTAGTGCTGGCTCCTACCCTGGGGGTCTTTAAGAGGAGGCTTGATGCCTACCTAGCTGGAGTCATTTGAGCCCAGTTTTTCTCCTGCCCAGGCAGGGGGTCGGACTTGAAGATCTACAAGGTCCCTTCCGACCCGACTTCTATGATTCTGTGATTGCTGAGTGCAGAAGATGACCCAGAGGCCTTGTGGTGTCATGCCCCAGGCACATCAGTAAAAGACCTGTCACTTCCATGACTACTTATTTATTCAAGATCAAACCAATACAAGTCAATTCTTGCCTTAAATATAAACTTAATTGAAAATATCTCCTACTAAAATTAAAATGCTGCTTGCTGGATTTATTCCAGGGTGGATCTGATTTAAGCTTTTTGGGCCAACAGGAAAGTTAATTTTAGTAGTATAATGACAAAAGAGCCATTTGTAAGATTATTTTGCTGGACAAAGAGTTGTTTTGATTTTATCCCATTTTAGAGTGATACAACATTACAGCGCTAAAATGTAATGTGTTCTCAGAATGTTAATTAAGAGTAAAACTGATTATTCTTCAGAAATTTCCTGGACAAAATTACTGGCTACCTGATAATGCTAAGACCCATATGACCCAAGGAATGTTATATTTAGCTTTTTTATTTCTG